CTTTAGTTACTTTGAATTTCATTTTTTTTGTCATCTCTGCTGTAGAGCCCACCAGTTATTGCAAGGCTCTTCATTCTTCAATTGGCTCTATACCCAACCAATTTTGCAATTTTCTTCCATTTGAAAGTCCAGAAAGTGATACAACTGACACACCTCAAATATTCTTGTGAATTGGTGGCGACTGTATTCAGTGACTGTGACATACACCTCACACAAAGAATTACTGCAGTGCCTATTGAACACCTAACTGAAGACCCAAAGGGGGATAACTCTTTTGTGCAACCTGTCATCAGTAAAAGAAAACTGTTTTGTTTTGTTTTGTTTTTCTAAGCAGGAGACATTATATATACTTAGTATAACCCGACCTTTCACATTTGCAGCATGTTCACAGACTTCTAGTGCCAAAGCCTTGATTTTTCAACATGTGCCTACTCCTTGCTATATTTTTGACTTTGAAGGGAGCAGCAGTTGCACAGATTTTTCAGGCTTTCTTAGCAAATAAAACTAAATGCACACAAGTACGGCATATTTCACCCAAGTTTTACAAGAGAACAATGTGCAGTGTTTCTGCCATTTGGCTTCCACTGAAATCAATGGCAATTACATATTGTGCCAGAGATTTCCTTTAAAATTTGGATCTCATGGAGCTTAAGGGAATTGTCGTATGGTCTATTCTACATGGTCTGTTCAGATTTTTTTTGATTCCTCTTTGCAAATATATTTAGTACAAAGGACAAGTAATTTCATTCACAGTCGTATGAACTGAAGCACCTTTAGAAGGCAGGTAAATGCTACCTAGATACCTCTCTGAACCTTGGCTGCACTTGTATCTTTATCTCATCAGTGATCTATGGTCAGTGGTTACAGACACTCACTGTATAAAGAAAATGTTTGTTCAAAGCCAGTAATGGATTAATCCACTGCTACTCATTGCGGTTCTGGTATTATTAAGTGAATGAACTGCAGTTAAAAAATAAAGTTTCCTTTCCTTGTTCCTTCTGGATTTTATGAAACACCATTAAAGTACATTGTTTCTAAATTACTGTATGTACAGTAAGCTGATTTTTTTCCTGCAATATATCTATGGCAGCTTTGTTCATCTTAGTAGGCTTTATGTTATCTTCCTTGATGTCTCAGTTTTGTGACTGAACAGACTTTCCCTGGTGTTTGACTTCTCTTTCATGACATAGTTTGTCTACAACGTTTAAATTATTCTGCAAAGGTCACATTGTTTTTCAGAAGAGTCCCACAGATTAGGTTTTATACTCTCTCCCTGTTACTGCGTAATCACTTCAAAAACATTAAGCTTGACTGAATTTAGCCTCAATATCCATACTGGAAAAGGGAAGATTTTGAAAAGCATAGATTGAGTTAAAAAAACAAGGACTGAGCCCATGTACTGGATGCTCCTTTGAGCATTCTTCTGCAGGAGGAAATCCTTTCCCTCACTTCAGAAGATGGGAAACTGCCAAACCGGCTAACTCTTCCACAACAAAAGAACCATCTTTAAATATAGATGCAATTTCTTGACAATTTTGGGCATCACCAGCCTAGAATGTAGCAGGAAGGCTGATTCACCCTTCAGAGGAAAATGATGCTATAAAAACAGATTTGAACTTGGTACAGTTTGCCATTGTAAGAAGACACTTTTGCATCAAAGCTATGAGAAATGGACTTTGAAGTAGCTTGGCATAACTAATGTGCAGGATGTCTCTCTTCCCAACAAGGCTCTGAGAGAGATATAAAAGCAGACATACCTCACCAATTCAGTAATTCCTCCCAGTAAAAAAGAGAAGTAGTGTGAACTGGTTGTGTTGTGCCGACCAAGTGCTGTATGGAATTTAAGAATTTAACCAAAAGGAAGTGAAGCTGATGGATATCATCTGATACATGATTAGCAAGCAGACACTAGGAATGCTTAAGACATAACTAATAGCACTGGTATCTAATAGGATTAAAATTACATAGTGAAGTACTGTTGTTAGACTGTGCATATGTATATTTGCATAGGACTGTACTTAACATTTAGTGAGAACCATATGCCTGATCTCTTTCAGCCAGTTTATTTAATAATAAGAATAAAGCTCTGATGGATTAAGACAATGAGGCAAATATACAGAATCAGTTATAAATCAATACAGATCTAACATTCTGTCAGTACATGCTCAGGAAGTAAATGCTGCACAGACATGCAGCAAATACATTGTTTAAATCCCCTGTGTATGAATCTTGTCATCACTGGGAGAGATGAGAGCAGAAGAGTGGCTGCTGGCTGCTCTGCAGGGGTTTGGTTCAGGCTTTAGCCAGCAGCAGAAAAACAAAATCTCCAGAGTTTTAAGTCTCTCATCGGCCAAGAGTCTTCAATATTGATGCACACACACACACACGTGCACGCACACACACACACACACACACAGCATAAAAATAGCCTCAAGCACTTCTGAACCTGTGACTCTTGCCAGCTTGACCACACTCTCTGGGTAGTCCAGGAATTCAGGCAAGAACATCAATCAAAGGACCCAGCTGTACTGGAATGTATTCAGCCACCACTCCCACTCTGAGAGTTACAGTTTATTTTAGCTACTGTTTTCTACTGTGGGGTTTCATTGTCATTAGTCAGTGGAAATTGCTTGGTTATTCACAGAGTAGAAAATGATAGTATATGTAATTAGAATTATAACTATACATACATATATTTATGCACACACACAGACTCACACAAACACAGATATACATCCTGACTGATGGATTGAGTTTTCAGCCCTGCACAGAGAGCAGAAGTTCTTAGTTCTTTTAATGTAAGAGTTGCATGTCTAAATCTGTTCAAGTATAACGACTCTGTGCTTAGAATCAAGTACATAAAAGGGGACAATTGTTGCTCCGTATTACTCTGCGTAAAGTTCAATAATATGATTGTCTGGCCTCTGCAGTACTGGAGGCAGCTTGAGGCTGTCTGGGGCAACCTTGACAATAGTGTTGGTAAAAATTGGCACTGATCCATTGACTGCAATAGCTGTTGTGGCAGTTTACACCAGCAACACATTCAGCTCAGTCATTTTGCCTACTCCCATAACAAAAAAAGCCTTTTGAAGTATGTACTTAAAAAATTGAATGTAATTTTGTTTGATAACACTAGCCTGATTTTCCAGTGATCCTTAGCAGTGAAAGTTGAGCAACTAAACTTTATATCAAAGAAAGGTTCACCACATATGCAGTTCTGCTTTTGCATCTAATTATGCAGTTCCCTAAAGTCTTTAAGAAAAAGCTGATGATTCTTATGCATTCTAGATTGTGTCTTTGTAAATCAGAGGGAAGTCTCATTCTTATGACCCAATATTTATCTATGTAGACTCCTGTGTAAATAAAGAGCTGACAAGTTTAAAATAAAAATAGATCAGTAAACATGGATTTCTCAAAAGCCTAAACAATGAATTTGCTTTTTCCCCTCCATTTCAATTCTTCACAGATGAAGAGCTTTTTTCAGGAATGTATATTGATTTCATGGGGACAGATGCTGCCATTTTTCGGAGTCTGACCAGGAGGAATGCAGTGCGAACTGACCAGCACAACTCCAAGTGGCTGAGTGGTGAGACGCCTTTGTTTTGCCAGAGCTTTTAATGGGTTTCATGGAGATTCTGCTTTGTTTTGCCTAAAATAAAGAGCTTGTCTTTTAAAGATCTTTTCTCTGGATTTAATTTATGAAGTTGAACCATGAAGAAATGTGTGTAAATACATATTGTAGACAATGGACAGATGTAAAGGGTTCATTGCATGAACCAACCTCTTAGGCCACCTCACATGCCTTTTTTGCATTAAGACTGAACCAAACTGTTCAAGGGGAAGTGTGTAAAAACCTTTCAAATGGCAAGTGGTTAGGCAAATCAACTTCTGGGGAAGGGCCTTCTCCACCTCTAATGCATCAGACATTGCCTGAAATTGGAGTGCTTGATTCTAATTTTTTCCCTAATGAATTATCAACTTCAATTCATTCTGGCTGAGAGTACTCACCACCACTTGCATTCAAAATGTGTGCAGAAGAGAGTCCCAGTATCAGAGAAGTCATTGGCAATTATTGCAATTTATTTTAGTGGTAAGTAATTGATTAGCAAAATACAGTAGGAAAACTAATTTCTGAGTGCAGACACTTAACTCTTGGCTTCACTGAAAGCAGTGTGAAAATTTGCCCTGACTTTACTGATAAGAAGACTCCTTCCAATTAGGCAATTTTGGATTAAAAAGGTGGTCAGCTGTCTGAGCAGAGAAAAATGACAAAGGTTATAGAGCAACTAACATAGCAGTTCCAATTTAAAAAAACTTTCAAGTATGTTGAAATAAAGTTACTGTGATTTTGTCTTGACTATTTTTTGATATAGCTCCTTTCTTGTTATTTTTGTGTGGCTGTGGCTACAGTGAAATCACAAGATTGCAATCAGAATAAGTTTAATTCACTATGAATAGGAAACTATGTCTGCTTTCTAAATTTTTTTATGTTTGCTATACATTCTTACACTTATCTGTACACCCTGAAGTGTGGACCCTAAAGTGAATTAGGGAAAAAGAACCATTAAAATGCCTAATTTCTGGAAAATCTACCTGTTCTATGGTCAGAACGTACTTTACAAGGACAACTTATTTCCGTGTTCTTTTAGGGCCAGAGTCATGACACTTTATACATTCATTGGGCATGGGTTCATGTGAATAGAAAAATGCTGCAGTGTAAAGTGAGTTTTCTATCAGTAATCCAACCTTTGTACCAGATTGTTTCAATATTTGTACAGAATTTCAACTGATCAAGCAATCTTGTGTGATCATTGAAGAGATACAGCTTTCATGCAGGAAGAAGATCTGTTTCTTCCTTCAGATAAAGGAGAAAGTCTTCTGAGGACTTCTCCAGTGTCCATTATATGCTTGCTGTTAAGGATATAAACTATTTTGCTCTCCCACTAGTGCTCCTTTGCAGTGTACTGCATGCACACTTGCTTATGTTTCTCAACCTATGATATGAACTCAAATGCTGTTCAAGCATTTGCATACCTTGCTTTCATTTTCCATGTTCCACAAGTTATTTTCCTTTCTTATTTGTGTACCTTATTTGTTATTTTCCTAATGAGTCTTTCGACAGCTTTTGTTTATGTTTTGCCTCAATGAGTCTTTCCTTGCCCCAATAGCACACTGATTCTTCCCTCTTCTTCCTCCAAGTCTTTGAGTCTCTGCACTAATCTGATGCTGCTGCTTCTGCATTTTAATTGCTTTTCTAAAGATCTGCTGTGGGATAAAATATGAGGACGCAGAAACTTAAGGCTCCCAGCAAGAAGCCTTTTACCTGGTGATATTTGGTATACACAGACATGAAGCTAGACCATATAGCTTAACCTGCCACAGCTATACCTCTATATTCATTATATAGTCAATAACTGTAAAATCATTAATTGCTTATACTAATACATCTTTTGATTCATCTTTTTGCTACACTGTTTCATTTCAGAGCCTATTTTTGTGGATGCTCATGTTATCCCAGATGGCACTGATCCCAATGATGCCAAAATCTACTTCTTCTTCAAAGAGAGACTTACAGACAACAGTGGCAGTACAAAGCAAATTCATTCAATGATTGCAAGAATATGCCCGGTAAGAATAATTTTGTTTGCCAGGTTTTTGTAACAAGCTGCTAGTGCTACATTATAAGCTAAAAGACTATGTGATTGAAAAGTCTTTGATTTATATTTGAAACAAATTTCCTGTTTCAGCTTCTACATTCATAATCAGGTAGAGCTGTTACTAAACACACAGCTAGGGCCTGAACATGTTATGTATATCTGGCTATACCCATAATTATATGGAAATTTGGAGATTCGGGGATTTGTTTGTTTCTCTGAGTCAGAATAGTTACCAGTGTTGAATTTCCAAACTTACTGCCCTTTTCATAAATGAGGTACATTCTTTGGTTAGAAAAACTGAATTATAAGACAGTGAACACTTTAACACGCAGACACACACATGCACACACATAAACACACGCAAAATCTTTGAAACACATTGGAAATAGCAAAGCCAAGATTTTAAATGGGTTGATTTAACTTTCTAATACTGTTTTCCTTTTTACAATATCTGTCCTTTCTGAGTTCTTGCATTGATTGTTGCATTGATGTATGTATGAGCCTAACTTTAAAAATGTGCACAGGAAAATTAAATTCAGGAGTTATGGCTACTCCTGTGCAGTAATTAATTTACTATCACAGTGCTCCTCATTGTGTCTGTTTCCTTTTTCATATCTGTAATCAACTGTAGATGAAAAGTGATTGAAGCAGCTATTAATATCGCTGGTGAAATGGATTTTTTATAATGAGAGGTAAATTATAAATGCACCATTATTGCTAGCCTTTTCCTTCCTTCCTTTGAAAGGGTTCAGGAAGATAACTGTGAATGTTTGTGATATTCCTGGTCTTTAATCTGGATCTTCTTACAAATTTGGTGCTTTGTGATGTTGTTGTGCAAGGGTGTGAGGGAGTGCTTGGGATTGTGTTAAACTCCTCCTCTGGCAATATGATGAGGCATGTGATCTCTTTTATAATCTCCATTTTCTATATTTTTGTGAGGGTGCCCAAAGGCCTTTTTGGGTATTTTGCAAGAAGGCATTTCACACAATTATAGCTGTATTTGTTATTGTTACTGTTATAATGAAGCCCAGATGATTTCTGAAAGGCCTTAGCCTGTTTAGACTTACACTGAAGTCAGTGGCAGAATCCCAAAGCCGATGAAAATAAATCTGAGACAGTCATATTTGTACACTTGTATACTATCATATTCATATATCAACACCTTTGAGACTGGCCAAGTATATTAGTACAGTGGTGCCAAGAAAGACCTACCCAAAATACTCCTTATGTGCCACCTAAAAAGCCAGATTGCCAGCTCCAGGAGCAGCAGTGAAACATGCACAACAGTTCATTGAAATCAGATTTTCCTAGCTTCTACATTTCCTTTTTTTTTCCTTTCCTTGGGTGACACTGTGCAATGCAGTTTGGAAGCTGCTTCTTCTATCTAAGGTGATCCCCAGCAGAATGAGGCAGGAGCTATCACCTCTGTGCTGCATTGCCTGGTTTGGCAGTTACAGCTTACGCCTCACACTGGAGAGAGATGCAAAGATCATTGGGCAAGCTGTGGCCAGGCCAGCTCAGGACCAAGCTAGCAGGCCTTCCAGCAGTTCAAAACAAGTTAGACCTATGCTAGGCATCATTTCTGAATTTAATTCAGAGCATCCTCGTCATGGGCCAGCATGGATTACTCGGTCAGATGCAGCTATTCTGTTGTCAGGACTAGAAGAAACATCCCTCCGTAGGAATATTAGACCTTTTTGCACGGACTTCTCCACACAAGGTGTCAGCGAGTGTTATAGTCCTCCACAGTCCTTTCCGATCATACCTACATGGACTGCTGCTGCAAAGAATCTACTGCCCAACCTTCCCAAGCCTGCTAACCCTTTCACAGAAATTCTACTTAGAAAACCAGCTACTGCTTATCCTGTATCTGGAGTGTTTAGATGAGGGGATTTGTTTTAGGCCTCTCTTTTTCTTATTTTAAATATAACGGCATAACTGTCTACATGATGAGTCAAATTAACCTGTGGAAAATGTGGGAAAGGCTGGTGAAATGATAACTGTGTTGTATTTTTTTCTAAAAATAATATTCTTTTCCAGAATGACACAGGTGGTCAGCGTAGTCTTGTGAACAAGTGGACAACATTCTTGAAAGCAAGACTTGTGTGCTCAGTAATGGATGAAGATGGAACGGAAACGTACTTTGATGAATTAGGTATGGCAAGAAAAATCCCTTTAAAGTTTTATCTAAATCTTGCACCCTGTGCCTATTTAATTATTGATTTTCATTCAGCCCCTTAGTAAAGTTGTTGACAGTGAAATCTTGGCCCTGTAGAAATTAATGACAAAATTTTCCTTGCAGTTTTATGATAGGAAACGAAAAAATTCTTCATAAATCTCTCTGGGTAATTATCATTATCTTTGAAATAACAGTAATTCATCTTGACTATGTAAAGGAATTATATATGTAAAGAATTCATATTTGGAAGAGAACAAGTGAAATATATTGATATTTTGCTCCTAGTTAAGATTATGATAGGGGTTGGTTTTTTTTAAATACATCTCTTTGAAGCTGTTTCTTATACAACTGTGTAACATACAGCTTTTCCACATACAGTTTTTCTTTTTTGATCACTGGGTAGAGGCCTCAATTTAGATAGTCCAAGCTAATACTAGTAAATCCTATTACTGGCACCACCAATAAGTCTACAAAGAAATATAATTTCTCAGGATTCATTCAGGCACTTAGATTTTCTGTTCAACCTGTCAGACACTGAAAATAGTCAGTGAGTAATCTATATAGGAAGTCACAAGAGGTTTCTTTTCAGTAAGGAATTAATAGATGCATAACTTCATAGTTAATTGCCAAACAACATTATCAGAAAGTTTCAAATTCTCAGTTTTCCACAACTGTGACGTACAAAGTCATAGTTCTAAATTCAGCTATTGAAAGATTTGGTATGTGTAGAAATATAAATTGAAAGAGAAATAATAGAAATAATAGAAATAGCTAATGAGCCCCACACTGGGGATGCATCTGATTCTGAGCTTTTCTCCACTGTAATCTCTCTCTTTTGTCTGGCATTATTGATGACTACCATTATAGCAAATGAGGTTCAGAGTCTTCTTGATGTGGGATCATTACAAATATTTGGTGTATTTATATTGGTTCAAGGCTTCAGTGACACGGGCTTAGAGGTAGACCCTAACTTGCTCTAACTCAGAATGTGCAAGGTGCCTGGAGGGCTGACTTTCAGAAGTTCCCAGTGCTGAAGCACTGCCACAGCAATTAATGTTTCAGAGCTGTGATTTACCAGCCCACTCCTCTTCAGTGAAACAGTAGGATAACCGCTTTTAGTTTTCTGTGCGACAAAATGTAAACCACATAGAATAGAAGACAGTGTTCTCAGGCTGGGCTCTCAGCACAATCCTGTGGCAAAGAGAAAGAATAGAACCACAACTGGAGATACAGAAAACTGGGAGAGAGAAAGCACACACTTTTATACATTTTCATGTATAATGCAGAAGAGTGTAACATTTCCAGTTCTGCTTTTGACATATTTAAAAGAATATTTTAAAAATTCAGAGGTTTAAATAAAGGAGCAACATAAATTACTGGAAGGCTAGAGAACATATTATATGATAAAGAGCTCAAACAGGTCAGTCTTTTTGTCTGTTGTAAAACACATTGAAGAGTTACCTTGATTATAGTTATTAAAAAATATTTGTAAGGAGAAACTGCCAGAGATTAAAGTATGTTTCACTGAAATGTAAAAAAACCCAACAGATCAGAGCTAAGGGTGGGCAAATTCAGTTCAGTACAGGGTGGCATAGGGCAGTCAATAAATTCCTACACAACAAAAGCTGGGAGGTGTACATCTCTCAGTGTCTTCACTGCAAAACTGTCTGTCATTCATATCATGTTGAAAATGAGCTAATGAGGGCATCTCGAGTGTGCACTGGACAACAAAACACCTAACTGACCTACTTTGGATTACATCTGTCTATGGGAACTCTCTGCCTTTGACCTATTGCAACTTAAATGTTTGCCTGCTGTTAAACAACCTGCTGAAACAAGATCCAGCTGAGAGAAGTGTGCAACATGGCTCCGGAATATATTTGCAGATCTTTGCCTTCTGTCTTCATAAGGCGAGATGGCATGGAGTTAATTTCAAATCTGTTTTCAAATGTTCAAATGCTAGATTTATGCATATGGTCCATTCATTCGATCATTTTGCTTTTTCCCATTCAAGTCTGAGACAAAACTACCAATTATTTCAGCAGGAAAGTAATAATTTAAACTGGATCAATCAGACATTTGAATAATCTCCCAGGGGAAGTGGTAAATTCCCCTACATTGGTCCATTTTAAGAGTCAGCTTGACAGGGTGCTGACTCATCTCATTTAAACTACACTTTTACCTTGAAAGGTTGGACTAGATGATCCTTGTGGTCCCTTCCAACTTGGTATTTGATGATTCTATTGTCGTGGTTTAGGGCTGGGCTGGCCACTACATCCTGGACAGACGCTCTCTATTAACCCCTCTCCCCTCCCCAGAAGGGAATAATAAGAGAATAAGGGAGAGAGTCTTTATGGAAAATAAACTAACAGATTTAATAAAACAATAATACTAATACTACAGGATAATAATGTAAATAAGAAAATAATGAAATATATACAGATATGTACATGTACAAATAGATACAAAACCAATATAAAATCCTCCCCCCCCACCCTCTCCCCAATGACGTATACATCACCAGAGGCTCTGCAGAGCAGGGCACTGGAAAAGTCCCAGACTGAACTCAGCAGCAGGTGGGAGCAGGATGCAGAATACAAAAATCAGGATCAGAGGCAGATGAACCAGCAGAGTTGCACTCAGATCTCGGCCACTGCAGGATCGAGACAGACGAAAATGTCTGAGATGGAAGGGCTCCAAGATGGAAGAAGGGTTCAAAACCCTCATGATCCCTCGGCTTTATACCAAGTATGATGTATGTGGGATGGAATACCTAGTTGGTCAGTTTTGGGTCTGCTTCCCCCACCGTAGGCGCAGACAAGGCACCCATGATGAGACAATTGACCTTGAGCTTATCTTCTAGCAGCACATACTGGAAAAACAATGCCTTTAGTTTCAGCAAGTTCAGCCACTTAAAAGAGACGGAGCTGAAAAGCAAAATTACTAAATAGAAAATTAGTTCTATTTAGCTCAAACCAGGACATCTATGATTCTATGAAAATTTTTATTAGTATTCATTTTTTTTCCTTTTCTTTCTTACAGAGGATGTGTTTCTTCTAGAAACAGATAACCCCAGAACAACCCTTGTGTATGGAATTTTTACAACATCAAGGTAAATGGGGAGATTTGAAAAAAATTACCTTTCTAAACTCTCCCATTTTCTATATGAAAACCAAAAGTGATGGCTTGTGGTCAAGGCTGTTCTGTGCAATTTTGTATGTCTGCTGTGGCCATCATTGGCATGCAGTAACAGTCTCAGTGTCTTTACTGCTGGTATCCATGTTAGAGCTGTGCTCCTTGGAGCAGGCTGCTCCCTGACATACTGTCAGCTGGCACCGGGAAAACATTTCCGTGGAGGGCCACTTGTTACCATTCAGCAAGGGAAAGCTACACGACTTCAATGCCCTGAACTCTTGTGGCATCTGAGAGCGCTTAACACCTCCTGAAGGACATCCAGCACCCTGAAGGATCAAACCGGGAATTCTTACTTATATTCACACAAATCATTTCTAGTCTCTCCACCAGCAGATGATCGCACAGATGGCAAATAACCCATGTCAGCTTCAGCTGGCTACAAAAAGACAAACTTATGTGGCATCTGATAACCTCCTTGAAGCCTTAGGCTCCCTGTTACCAGTCAGTAGTATTCACTTACTCTCCAGTTAAGAAAACACTTCATGAGCTCCCAGGGGCAGTGGACGTACCAGATATGGTTTACTATGCTGAAAGTCTCCACAGAGATAAACTGATAGGCAGACCAACAGATTCTGCCACCTCTGCCTTTATTTTTTTCACTTTTCTCTTAGCTGTACCACATAGTGGTGGTATACAGAGTAGAAATAGTCACTGCTTACTTATTTTTGGTACACTAGCCTGTATTATTTAGCTATTGTTACTTACCTTCAAAGAGGTTTCTTGCTTGCTTCAAATTTAATTTCTTTGATCAAGTTAGCTAACTATTTAACTTATTACTAATAATTCCTTTAATGGCAATTTCCAGTAAAGAAATCTTTGTGTGAAAAAAAATATATTTTCCGGATACGCTTTTCTTTCTTTATCATGTGGATCTAGAGATCTGCTTTCTGAAATGTGTGAACTAGCCAGGAAAATATTATTTTATGATATTTAATTGAGAAAAAAAGGAATCCCATAACTTGTAAACATCTAATGCTGTCTACACTTTTTGATTCCTACTGCACAGAGAAAATTCCAAGGTTATGTTTAGCAGTAAAACCACACTTATGATTAGGTTGTGGATGTAACATGCCTGAACCAGAAACACTTTTACCTAATTCTCCTGGTATTCCTGCAGTGGAAATGAGGTTTAAATCACAGGACCATATAAGGTGACAACAAAGAGAAAACCTCACTTTTTCCTGTCTTTCAAGCTGTTTTCTCTCTCTGTTGAAGGTTTTACACTCATGCTTTTCTGTTATGATGAGCCACATGGTCTATGCTTGCTTTCTCTTTGTTCGACTAGAGATTAAATGTGTTACCCAGTCAAATATAGCAATCAGAAGGATTTTTACTCCTTAGCAGTTCTTTTATCTTCACCTCTGTAGACCTCCAGCTCTTAACAGTAGCAAGAGAGAAACGTCCTTATAGTATTTTTATTGAAATTATACAGAAGGAAACCAAGTAATATTGAAGCAAATTGTTTTGGTGGCATAATCTGCTGTAAATCTAACATAAAACATCTGGAAAGACCAAATACATTTCTTAAAACTTATTAATACCTACTGAAATTTCCATGAATACCGTAATCCATCTAAAAGGTTCCTCCTACTAATCCATATATATAGCTGAGAGTAATGTGGATTGTGTTTTCCTTGTTTAGACCCTGTGTGTAATGTTTTCAGGCTTTTTCTGGAGTGTTTTTTTTTTTCTTATTCAATTGAAAACAGGCAGATTTTAGACTGTCTGGAGCTTCCACTTCGTTAGGATAAATATCTCAAACCTTACATGCAGTGAGAGAAAAAAAGGAGTTAATTCACTTCAGTCAGCCTTAGTATCACTCTGGAAATTATTCACCTAGTGCCCCCCATCATCAGTGCTGGCTGAGACATCTGAGACCATTGCTGAACCCAGAGCAGTGGAAAACTTTGCTCTTATCAGAGATAAACCCCACAGGTTCTCTGAAAGCATCAAACTTCATCTCTTTTGAAGGGGTCTTTGTAAGATGAGTTTTGTGGGTGGATTTGAGGACTGTATAGGAGTAATTTCTTTACAGCCACAACCTGTCCTCATTTTGCTTAGAAAAGCTGGCATCTGATTGCAATAACCTAACCAGTTCTAATTGCGCTGGATACTTTGATTATTATTTTAGCCATGTATCTTAGGAAGCTCATGGAGGTCTTGTGGTTAACATACTGGTAGGGAGCTCTGGAAACCTGTGCTGAGCTTGGCAGTACAAAGTTTATAAAACTCTTGTCTCACTGAAGTCAGCAATATTTTTGCCATTGATTTAATGGGGGGCAGATTATATTTCTTTTATATTCAACATTAGGAAATTTTCTTTTTCCACTTGTAAGAATTTATCTTTTTTTCTGTTCACCAATCAAGAAAGTGCTAGGTCTTAAGGAGTAACAGTGTATATTGGGAAGCTAAATTAGTTGATTTTAAATTTATTAAATCCCTGCTATATAAGCATTAAATTGTATTATGATGTTATTTTAGAGGTATCTAAAAAAAAATTATGGAAAAGATATAGAGAAGTGGATAGATTGCAATACTAACTTTTTCCTACTGTCTTCCAGCTCCATATTTAAAGGCTCAGCCGTGTGTGTGTACCATCTATCAGACATCCAGACTGTGTTCAATGGGCCCTTTGCACACAAGGAGGGCCCAAACCACCAGCTGATTCCATATCAGGGCAGAATTCCGTACCCGCGGCCTGGCACTGTAAGTATCAAGATGTTTATGCAGGCTCGCCAATTACTTGTCTTTGTTTAATACACAAATAAATATTATTTATTCCAGGAGAATGGACTATATGTGGCTATGACACTTAGTTACAGTTCAGAACAATTTTATTTGCTTCTCACCTTGCCATACAAATCACGTAGTATCTGGAAATCTTCTAGAAAGAATTAAAAGTTGTGCAAAATGCTAATCGCTCTTTCTCTTTCTGCTGAAAAGGTGGTAAGAATTATTTCATAGGATGGCAATCATTATTTACTTGTATTTTTACATTTTTTGTGTGTTTGAGCAAAAGATAGTTTAGTAGATAAGCATAAAAACAGTGTTTTGAGTGTATTCTGCAGTCTGGATCCAAATGTCTCTACGTCTGTCTTCAGTCTGTATGAATTTTCCATAATTCTCTAAAGTTTTACAGCTCTTCTGGGTTGCCTGGGAGATGTAGTGAGAGAAGGCGGCTTCTGGGACTTGTCATTTCACTAGGTCTAATACCCTGTCAGGCATTAAATCTTAAAGGAGAGACCTAGAAATAGATGAGTTTTCATGCCAATCAGTTCATAGTAGTCCTCCTTGTTAAGAAAGCTTTTTGTATGCCTTGGAAAGTTTTCAGGACTGTATTTTTCAGTGTATTAAAGGTAGAAATAATCTAATAAATTCTGCACACAGAACTAACTCTGTTTCCAAGTTTTACAGAAATGTCCCATGAAAGACTGAAAACATTTTTTTTCACCTTTATGATATAAAAAATTGCTGTTCATGCAATTCTGTCTTTATTTATTTACTCTTTTACACTATTTGTATTTTAGATTTAGCAGAATTATGAGGTCTAATATTTCCAGCTTTAATGAAGAATATATGAGCTTTCTCTAGAGTCTTCTCTAAATCCATATTTGCTGAATGAAGTATGGTAGTATAGACTTTTGTTGACTCCTATGAAGTCTTCTTACAATTTCTTAAGTATCATAATTAAAAAAATATGCAGAATCATAAATCATACCTCGACTATGTAGGTATTTTTTAGATTAACACTTTGTTGCTTTTCCATTTATCACAGGAAATTAAATTTTATTTTCATTTTGCAAGTCACTGCAAGAACCTTTAGCTGTATCAGTATTTCATTCATATTTGACTTCATGCTGCCGGTATTGTTTTTTCTCTTTCTCTCTAGTGCACTAATTCTCAGCTACATGAAATAGCTCACCCTGTTCACACAACTCGTCATGATATTTTAGTGCAGTTATTACTGGCTGTAAGATTTAGGATTTCATGTTCCCATATCCCTAGAATTAGCTAATCAATACCTAATACTGTCTAATGCTAGCATTATTCTTTCTTTGCAACTAATTTATGCAGCTCTAGTCAGTTCACTGAGGCTTTAAGCTTAAACTTTACAAAGAAGAAAATAAATGACCCATTTAAAAAGGAAGTATCTTGCTCTTGTGATTAGTCACATTTTAGAGTTTCTTGCTGCTTCAGAATATTGTATGTTTCCTTAACCACTGCCATGTTATTCTTGGTTCGCCTCATAGATGCTTATGAGGTATTCCAGATGGGCCTACAGAAATTGGGCAGCACAATGGAAAGGAGAAAAAAAATCAGATTTGGATTTAATATGGTGACAGAAATTAACTACATTTTTCAGATGAGCTCTGAATTTGAATATAAATTCTTAGACCATAGCGCACGCGCACACACACACAAAGCCAAAAGAGATTATTTTAAGATTATCATTGCTGGTTTTCTGATCACTGGCTTTTCTGTGCTTTCTCCCAGTTCAGCCACAACACAATGTCATAAAAGTGCATTTTAGAGCTTAAAGCTGGTATGTGTTTGGCTTTGCTTTTCCGTTATTGCCCAAAAGTTCTGCCTTTAAAGGCATGCCATAAACTCTATTTTTCTCTTATGTCAAAGCATCTGTAAAAATTGAGACAAGGGGTTTTTTTGCTGGTCAAAATTTGTGTTCAGAGGGTTAACTTTGAATAGCCACGCTTGCAGACTATGTGGTATGAGCCTCTTTCCTCTGGAACACAGGTTTTTTTGCTGCTTCTGGTATGCTGGACTAGACAGGGTTGCCTTTTATATGACATGGAATATCCTACTTTACAGTTGCCTAAAGAGATATTTATACTAAACCTCTGGACAGAAATTAATGTTTGTTGTGTTGCATTACTTTCGATAAACAATGAAAAGACTTCAGTATAGCTTCAGTAGAATTAAATAAAGCAATACGTTCATTTGGCCATAATCAGCTCCATAGTGTTTGGCTGCCCTATGCTACATACCAATGGTTTCTTATTTCTCTGCAGGCAAAACTTATTTATGGAAAAAGAAAGGAAAAAAAATTACATAATTGGCAGCTTGCTACTAAATTCAGTGATGTTTGAGGGCAGTTTCCATTTTTCAGGGTTTACAGAAATAGTTTTTGTACCTACAGCGTGTTGGGGAATATGCTGTAATTAAAAGAATTCTGTTTCTCTCTGTAATCTAACTGCATGGTGGTCAATTGTGAACATAATTATCATGAAGCCAAGTCCCTGAATGAGGTGTGAAGGATACATACTCAATCCGTCCAGGAAAGAGAGAGCATATAGGGTTCTTCAGTAGCATCCTTTGCTCGTCATTGGTTGATATGGAGGATAACAACAGAATTAATTGATTAAAGATGTTCACTAAGGCTTTTCTCAGAACAACAATATAATGTAAGCTTTTTGGGTCATACTGGGGTGAACCATAGCACAGACATTTTTGCAGGAAGTCACAGACAAAGGTCTTATGATCTCCAAGTCAAGAATGGAATGACAGAAAATATCAGAGAAAATCTTCTGTTAACAGAGCTATGTGGGACAGGAAATTTTAATTTGAACCGCTCATGAAACAGAATCCCTCTTGAGAGGAACCGGGGTCTGGCAGTTCACCACAAAATAGGATAATCTTGCTAATAGCCCACAAATTTATGAACACAATTATTTTTTCAGCATTTGTTGCTAATCTTAGCAGATAGCTCTGTGCATGTCCTAGAAGACTGTGGATGGAAGTGCCACAGAGGAAAGGAGTAGGTTGAGCACTCTCAGAGGACTAGCATGTAGAGTCATTTCTAACAAGAACCAAACCAAAACCATCAAGATAAATAGTCCAGAAGAATCAATTGTGAAGGATGTCACATGGGAAAAGAGACCTATATCTGAGCTGAATTCCAGTTCTTCTTCCTGATGGTAACTGATGCCAGAACAGTTTCTTTTAAAGGATCCCTACCAGAGCTGTTCTACTTTGTATGAATAATTAAATTCTAATTGAGCTGGAAGATTATTCTAAAGCCTTGGATTAGGCTGCAGTCTTCTCTTTACTTGGTTCCAGGTATTGCCTAGTTTATTATTATGTGCAAAAGATGGAGTAGCTTTTAGCAGCAAGGGTAGAACAGGCACTCCTGCCTGGTGGTTAGAGGGATCCCCTGGGAGATAAGACACAGATTCTAACATTTGCTTGCATCAGGTAGGTTGACTCATATATCCCTAGTGAGTTTCCTAGTCTCTCAGAGTATGATTCATTTTATGTAATTTTAGCCAGCTAAAAGCAGGGTATCTAGTCTGAATTACTGACTACAGAGGAAACCTAGATGGCTAACTAAGAATAAATGCCTGATTTTGAGACACTAGAAGTCAGGTGAGGTAAATCTCTCCCTAAGCTACTAGCTATTTCTGTCTGTGGTTTTGACCAGAAATTCCATCCTGGACATAAGAATGGTCCTCATAGAAATAAACATTTTCCATTAAATTCTTCATATTGAACAAATCAACATTTTCCAACTGGAAAAATATTGTGTTGAAATATTTCTGAATAGCTCAAATACTCCAAGGAGACTTTCACACCTCAGAAATCTGGTAAGGGGTAAAATAAAAGCTCAGGAGCAGCAATAAGAATTTCAGTAAGAGTGGCTGAAAAAAGTCATGTAAATTGGTGTAGGTTCATCCAAAACATTGTACCAGTTAATGACGTTTCTTCTCATTTCTTCCCACAGTCTTCTAGTTTCACTCTCAGTAAACACTTAAGATTTCTAAGATTGCTTTTATTTCCTTATGAGGTCCAGGATGCCTCAAGGCTGATTATTTGGATGGTTCTTCATTAAATATAAAGAAGCATCCAGAGCATTCATGGACCTCTGTTATATCTCAGGCATTGGTGAGAGTGTAGACAAGATCCTGTGAATGGTCAGTCTTCTCAGATGTAAATGAGTTGTCATGGGACCCCTCCTTAACTCCATATTATTGTTTTTCCAAATGAAGATGAGTTACAGGCTCTTTCACTATCTCATAATCAACTCAATGACTAGAGGGATATTGACCAAATTAATGTTAATATCAGATTTTACCTTTTGCCTTTTTCTATAACAAACCAGCTGTGAAAGTTTGGTATCTTCCTGTACCAATTGCTTGGATTTTATTTTCAACAGGCAGTTTGGAAGCATAAAGAATGTGGAAATAGGTCCAGAAGTATGGATCTTTGCTGTCAATCTGGGTTTTGAAAGTGCAAAAATAAGTTTGTGTTTGCTTTATCTGAACTGAAGGGAGTACAAAGCATAGCTATTCAAGCACTTCATTCCCATTACTGGAACATAATTACTTTCAGTCAAAGTCTGAAGTTCTCTTTCGGGAACTTACTTTCTCAACCATCTGTCAATATTTGTAAATGACTTGGAGATGAAAACTCTCTGAAAGATGGTAAGTATTGTTAAGCATTGCTGTGCATGTTTCTTACAGTGTCCAGGAGGAGCCTTCACACCTAATATGCGGACAACCAAAGAGTTTCCAGACGATGTTGTGACCTTCATCAGGAATCACCCTTTGATGTTTAATCCCATTTACCCAATACACAAGAGGCCATTAATCATCCGGATAGGAGCTGACTACAAGTATACAAAGATTGCTGTGGATCGAGTGAATGCTGCTGACGGAAGATATCATGTCTTGTTTCTTGGAACAGGTAAGACAAACTGTCATGGTTTAGGCCCAGTGCATAACTGAGCACCACGATGCCCCAAAAAAGGGCTACTCAAAATAAGGACTGGGAGGGCTTCTCACCACTTAAACAGGTCACAGGCAAAAGACAGACTCATCATAAGGAATAAAAAACAAAACAATTTTAATTTGTTACCAACATCAGAGTAGAACAATGGGAGATACAACCAGATCTTAAAATCAAAACACCTTTCCCCCACCCCTCCCTTCTTCCTGGGCTCAGCTTTTGTTCCCGGTTTCTTCACCTTCCCCCTCCCGCTTTGCCTTGAGGCGCACAGGGATGGGGGTGGGGGTTGCAGTCGGTTTTCACACCACGTGCTTCTCAAGGGTAGGAAAAAACCTCAGCCCAGTCTCTCTCTCTGCTTCCACATGGCC